CCCCAAAACCCCAAAACCCCAAAACCCCAAAACCCCAATATCCACTAGCAGTGTTGATAATTTGGAGGCTTTCTGTAGAAATTTATCCAAACTCTTATTACTACAACTTGATCTTCTTCAGTTCCTTGTAATTCACCTTTTCACCGCCTATAAAGGTTAATTGATAGCTTACTCTGTGCTTTCTGGTAGATGGGCTGGACTCTTTTGAGGTAGTCTCAACTGTTAATCAAACTTTGCCCTCACAAGTTGAAGATCCAGTGAGGAGTGTCTATTCTTGTACATCCTCTGATATAATTTTTGGTTGTTTCTAGAATTTTACTATGCGCTTACCTTCATCATCTTCATGCTTCTTCCTTACATTCACTTGCTGGATTTCCTTATAGCAGATGAACTTTGGGTTATCCAGATTAGATTCATTATTGAGATACACTTCTTGGCCAGAGAATAAGCATTCATACACAGGCTTTTTCCTGGTTAGATTAATGTCGACTCCATTACTATTGAAGACTTCCTTCTTCTTAGCAATATTTTCAGGAAATCCTACTAAAATCAACTGCTGTAACAAAGTTTGCTGCTTCCCGCTTGGTGGCTTCAAGGAGAAAACATCAACCTTCAAATCTGGGTTAAGATCATTCATGATCTTTTGTAGTTGTTGGGATAAGTTAATAATCTCGTCAACACTCTTTTTGTTAAGGTACAAAGATTTAGCAAATTTGAACATTTCAGCTCCCATTTCCTTCTTTGTAATTTTTCCCTGTTTCAACTGATCTCTGATTTTACCGAAGTATTGGAGGAAAACTCCGACAGCGAGGACGTTGGTGTGGAGATCTCCTCTCTCACTGAACCATTTCTCTTTGATCTTGAATTTCTGGGTAAGCATTTCCTTCCTCACTAGCTTACGTTTGTCAAGCAATTTCTGCTTCTTTTGTAATAGCTTATTTTCCCTTCTCTCAATATCAATTTGAGTGACGAGGTCAGGATCATCAGAAATCTCTTCCATATCATCGGAGACATCATCATCTGAGAAGTCTAGCTTAATATTAGGAGCTCTGAAGATCTCCTGAACTGTGAGAGAGGCCACTGTTATAATAGCTAATTCTAAAATCTTTGCTTTCCTTCCAAACACTAGCATTTTAGCGAATTTAGGAGCCAATGGGATGGTCGAAAGTAGCAAACCAAGGTCGGTGATTCTTGTTTTGTCTCTATTGAAACTCATAGAAAGTATTTTTCCGTCATCATTTATCAATTTCTCGTGTTGGTCTTTAATTAGATCTTGCTTGAATTCATCCTCAATGTCTTTAGATTTGTCCTTGAGCTCAAGAGCATTCAATACACAGAGTTCTCTAAGAGTCGACTTTACTTGAGCTAGGTTTGGAGAAGATACAAATGGGAATTTGCAAAGATCATAAATACCTAAAGCCTTAAGCTGCAGAATAGTCTGGTCGATTGGAGTTCTCAAAATCTCTGGAACTGCAAATTTCTCCATTTTATTATATACTGCTGAGGAATAAAGTCTATAACAATGACCTGGACCTGTTCTTCCTGCTCTACCTGCCCTCTGGTTTGCTGAAGCTTGAGAAGTCCAGGATATTAAAAACTTTGATAGCCTAAGTTGGGGATCATAAACTTTTTGTTTCTCTCTTCCGCAGTCGACCACATACCTAATGTTTGGAATTGTGACTGAAGTTTCAGCAATATTTGTAGATACTACAATAAATCTATGACCTTCTTTAGGAGGTTGGAACACTCTTAGTTGTTCATTAGGAGATAGCATAGAGTATAAAGGAAGTACTTGGACTGGCATAATATCATCATCCATATCCTCGTCAGCTTCCTCAACCTTTTGCTCTTGATTTTTGTTTTCCTCCACTGATTTCTCTGATTTCTTAGTAGAAGTTTTCTTCTTAAATTCAGCCTTTAGTCTTTCAACCATATATTGAATCTCTTTTCTTCCAGTCAAAAATACCAAGATACCTCCTTTTGGTAAATTTTTATGAATTTTGCAAACTTTCTTAAATGTTTCTTCCTCATAATCCTCTCTCGTTACTTTATTAAAATGAATCTCAACAGGGTATTGCCTAGAATCTACTTTTATCATTCTCGGAACCAAACTTGGGAAAAGTCGTTTGTTCTTAATAAAGTCATCAACTCTTAATGTAGCACTCATGATCACAACTCTTAGTGGGAAGTGATGGTACTCTTCAGCACATGGAAATTTCTTCCTTTCCTTAATGACCTTCTTTAGCCTGAGCCGAACAATCCGAGAAAGTAAGGAGATTAAAATATCAGTGTTGATACTTCTCTCATGAGCCTCATCGATGATTACAACTGAATACTTCTCGAGTAGAAAATCAAGTTCAATCTCTTTCAGGAGAATACCATCAGTCATCAGCTTAATTACTGTGTTCTGGCTGATATTCTTCTTATCATACCTAATTTGGTATCCAACTTTATCTCCGTGTTTTACATTGAGCTCATCTGCAATTCTTTGACTCAGAGAAGTGGCTGCAACCCTTCTTGGCTGGGTGATCCCAATCATTCCTTTCCTACTAGTAGCAGTGTATCCATATTCATACAGGAATTGAGGGATTTGGGTGGATTTTCCACTTCCTGTCTCTCCACAAACAATAGTAACAAGGTTGTTCTCCACACTTTCAAGGACTTCTCTTTCATGCATAAAAACAGGAAGTTCTTTCCTCATTTCATCCATTTCTTCTGTCCTCTGAATAGGAATTATATCTGGCTTTTCATCTAAGAGATTGACCTTCATCAGGTTTTTATTGGCATTCTTATCTGCTAAACTCTCTTCATCATCAGAATCAAGTTCTGCAAGGAGCTTATTGAGCTCCTTAAGATGATCGATAACCATTGGCTTTGGTTCAGGCTTTTCCTCAACAACATCAGTTGGAAGTAGATCCTGCTTTTCGACCTTCATGACTGGAATTGCATCGTCATCATCACTCTGGGATAACAGCCTAACTCTTGAGGCTTCTTCATCCTCCTTTATCTTTTCCTGTCTTTTCTTTACTCTTAACTTCTCTTTCTCTTTCATCTTTACCTCTTCAGGAGTGTCAGGAAGATTAAGCTTATGCTTAACGAGCTGATATTTCTTCTGGTCCTTCTTCATCGTACTGGCAGAAGTCATGAGGTCAAGGACTTCTTCATTCTTAACAGCATTTTTCTCAAGAGTTGATAAAATTTCACTCAATTTCTTTTCTTTCGCCTTTTTCTCTCTTAGTTTCTGAAGTCTCTTCTTTTGTTTCTTTCTCTCCTTTGCATCAATTTTGTTCTGCTTTTTAGTCTCAGGATCAACCTATATTTGAAAGTTAGCAAGAGCTAAATCAGTAAATTTGCAAGATAAATTTTGAAGTTATTTGTAAAAATTTAATTCTAAATTCTATTTTCAAACTATTAACAGTAGAGAAGCAAAGATAAGAAGGAGTTTATCTAATTAGAACAATACTAGGCGTCTTGCTACTTGTAAAACTTCATATTTTCAGCCTTTGCCACCACTAAACAGAGAAAGACTAGCTTTGGCACTCCTTAAACCCCATTTTGCCAAAATTCTGCGTAAATCTGGCTTGTCTGGTTCACTTGAAGCTAGGCTTACCTTTTCCTTCTTGGTTTCAGTAATGAAGTTGTTCTTCAAGCCCAATTCCTCTTGTGCTTCTTTTGAAATAAATATTTTATTCGTGCTCATTGTAGATATTTTAGAGTGTTTATATTTATTGATTTAGTTAATTTTGGGGTTTTGGGGTTTTGGGGTTTTGGGGTTTTGGGGTTTTGGGGTTTTGGGG